ACACACACACACGTATTCCATATTGACTATTAAATGGCCAACACATTTCCTCTTCCCACCTCAACTAGAGCCCAGGGTAAGCTCATGCCCCTCACACCATTCTCATTTCACTGCTGGCCTCAGGACACTGCAAAGGCAGGGAAACAAGCAGTGTCTGGATACCTCTGCAATGCAAATGTCAGTCTGTAGATCCAGTCTAACAAAGAAATTTTCTGAGCTCTGCAGGAGATCTCTATTTCAGTGTTTCTGACCTGCACTCACAACAAAGGGCTAAAACTATTCTTTTAAAAGTGAGTTGAAGAGTCTGTGGAAATCTAAGACTTCTAGCCACATGCCTCACAAATAAAGTTTCCTAATGGCTAGTGACCCAAAAGAAAGCAATACTGCAGCTCAGGAAATGGAAACTTACACTGTAAATCAAGAGATGTTGAGTTTCAGTGAGAGAGACCATCATTTCACTCCTGCCTGTTCTTAAAACCAGTTCCTAGATTACTCCATTCTGGCCCTCCTAACAGAAGGGAAGATCAACTGGTTCTGTAGGTTTTCCAGCCTTCCCTTCAAAGTCAGAGCAAGTCGAGAGTATTCAATTTTTTTTACCTTGCTCTTCCTGGCTCTCCATTTGCACTAGAAGGTAAAAAACAGCCCTGACACACCATACTCCAGTTTTACTGCTGCTGTTAGAGACTAAACAATTCCACACAAACTTAGGTTATTATCCAGGGACACTCACAATTTGCTCACTCTGTGACAGTGCTGTAAAAGGGCTTCCTCACAGGATACCAAGGCTTCATTTTTGCCTCCGAGACCAAGGAACAACTGAGATTGGAACACTGAAGAGCCAATCCACCTGAGCAAAATTACCTTTAAAAGGACATGGTATTTTAGAATGATAGATACAGAGTGCAACCAGAAGTACTCCTGAAGAGTATTTTACCACATTCTGTACCTGCATTTTTTTCAACCCATTTTTCAAAAGGTAATAACACTGCATGCGACCCACGCATTCCCTGCTTTTGCTTCACAGCCCAAACTAGCTAATTCTGCCCATCACTTTTCAACCTCTCTGTACAAATACCACTACTGATATCAGTGATTAATACACTAAACTGCAAAATGAGAGCTGTTGAAAAGTGACTTATAAAGAAAACAACAGCATGCACATCCTGTTTTCCTCTAGACCTCAATATACATCAAATCAAGAAAAGCTGAGGTTTTAGGCTCTTCTGGATGATAAAACAAAAATTTAAGCTTTAGGAAATTCACACAGCAAATAATATGTTCAAGTAGCTTTATTTTATTTTATTTTTATTTTCAATTCCCTTGAAGACTGAACAGGTAATGCAAGCAACCATATGCAACATTGCAAAAGTAGAAGAAACTGGATTAAAGGGGAAGTTAAGGGGGTGGTTTATTCTGCTACACAGCTTCTGGTATTCTGAGAAAATTGATAGTAGAAAAGAGACACTCTGAAAGAGGAAAAAATTCTGTACATTCAGTTACCCCATAAATTAGTTACTCAGTATTACTATACTATAGCTTATCTATAAAGCTAGAGAAATTGATGAATAAATTATTCAAATGAATGACAAATTACATGTCATAAGCTTGAAAAACTAAACTCCTCCTCAAAATACAGGGCACACTTCAACCAATTTAGTTGAAACAGTGCAAACATCTGTAGGGAAAGTTCTCTGTAAAAATGGTATTTCAAGAAGTCTTGAGGTCATCCCTAAAATGCATTTAACTAGGGAGGCAAGGCAGAGTACCTCACACTATACATGAAGCAAAACCTTGTAAGTAAAATAACCTTAAATGTTAATGTACAAAGACAAACCTAAATCCTGTGCTACAGCTAGCAACCTATACTGTGGAGGAACAAAAAAAAAAAAAAAAAAAAAAAAAAAAACCACACCACAAAACCAAGAGCCTTTCTTCAAAGCCCTTTTAAATCAATGGTGTAGACAACCTCATGGAGACTCATGGTGGTCTCTCAAGTTCTATCTTCAAATGATCCATCTGATTCCATCCTCTTCCAGGCCAGTGTATTTGAATCAACACTCAGGAGCATATGAAGCAACACCAAGAAGAAAACCACAAATCAGCCAAAGCAGGTTTATGTTAACTTTTCCAAACCTGTTTTGGGGAGACAAACCAAACTTTTACCAAAAGACACCAATCACAACATGCTCAGAAACCAACAAAGAGAACAAGCCTGAGATAGGAACACTAATGGCACAAGTAAGCTATCATAACAGCTTCTATCCAAAAATGAACGCCTAAGGAAGAAAGCAATCATTGAAAATCTTCTAAAGCTGCCTCTGCTTGCGAGCTATCAAAGTCTTGAGGAGAAGGTGAGGAAGAAGCATCTCAAGCACTTTCCGCTGTGAAGATCTGTCACCACATCAGCCACTGTATTTCCCTCTTCAGCCAGGCAACTCCCCTGCAAAATTGCTAAAACCATTACTTAACAGCACACACAGTACCTATCAACATAATGTCTTGTCCAACACCTTGTTCTAGCCAAAAACACTGTAACTCAATTATCTCCCCACCTGTTTATAACTTAGGACTCAGGTACTGGTGATCTTTCTGTCAGGTTTTAGTGTCTCACCTAACACTCTGCAACTGCTCCCATGGGCACATCCGCAACTGGCAACTGCTTCCAGAGAGAGCTTTTCTTCCTACCTTTGAACAGGGAGAGATAAGGACACTAGGCGACTCATGAGCCTTGGGAGATGATTCATACATCCCACAAGCAAGAGAAGTCTGCTAAAGCCAATATGACCTTCAGGGAGACCTGTGACTTAGACACCTTTAATTCTGCTGCCTTAATAACAGCCATAAGCCTAAAGTGTAATTTGATGGACTGTTTCAGTTCAGCAGAGACAGATGAGCCAAAAGAGCAGGTACTGCATCAGACTGGGGAAAAAAGGTAAGCAGATTTATTTCAGTGAAATAAAAACCAGAGCTACAGTTGGTGAAGTCCTACATGTGAAAGGAGAGTTATTTTAGTTTCAGAGCTATCACTTCTGAGACCTAGTCAGACAAGCATATTGCGTGTTGATGGGAAGGAAACCCTGCTCCATGCACATTTCCTTTTCCTTCAACACCCCTCTGGATTTAGTTCTTTCAGTTTAGGAGTGACTAGTCTAGTGCCATGGCACTCTCCACAAAAAATATTTTATATATACATTTTATTTGTTAACATTTTCTTATTTTTTATCTATAACATTTTTCACACAGTTCAGCTGAATTACCAGGCTAAAGTAAGTAATCTTATCCCATCACAAAATTCAATCTTAACAGTTCTGCAATCACAGTATGCAAGAATAGCTCAGTAAAGCATGGATGAAGAAAGAGACAAAAATTGAAGAAAACTGGATAGAAAGTCTCAGCTGGGTAACAACACAACAGGCACAAATCTCAGACCAGACACTCATCTCCCTGAAATTTTAATTTGAGAAAGGGCAGCAGGACTGATCTCACCACTTGTTCTGATTAAAACAGAAACAGCACCCCCACTGTCAAATAATAATACAAATAAAGCAGCGGACATAAAACTTCCAGGGTTTGTTTCTTTCCTAAAACGCAAATAATGGATTTGCATAGCTTAAGGCAGAGTCTACTCACAGAGCTATTGTTCCTCCCCCGAGGCCTTCGGGATTTCCAAGGAGTAGCTCCCTTTTAGTACCCTCGCTAGAAGCAATCTTTTATCCGAACCTCCCTGACCGGCAGCCACGGCAAAACGGTCGTGGATTACCCAAACCAAGCGATTCAGCAGAAGCCACGAAATCCCCGTCTATTTTACTTATGGGTCGCCGTGAGCTCCGCCGGGAGGCTCCCCCTGCGCGGGGCTGCTCTGCCCGCATGAGCCCACCGTCCCCCAGCCCTGCTCTGCCCACCTCGGAGCACCGGGCCCCGCCGCCCTTTATCCCCCTATCTCCCCACCCCTCTTCCCGCACTCGCCTCCCGCCGGCGCGCCTGCCGCGACTCACCGCCCGCGGGGAGCCTTGGGGCGGCTCTGCCCGCCGCCCCGGCCTGCGAGCGGAGCTGCTTCGGGCGGCCGGGGGAAGGCGGGCGGCTCCCCCGGCCCGAGCCCACCAGGAGCAGCCGGGGAAATTCGGGCGGCCCCTTCCCTCCGTGAAGGGCCCCCCACCGGAGCCGCCTACCTGTGTGCAGAATCGCACGGCTGCCCGCCGGACCCTCCCGCGCTCCCCGCCGCCCGCCGGGGGCGACACCCGGCCCCGCATGCGGACCCGGGCAGCGCCTCAGCCCGGCCCTTGACCCGCTCCCCCGCGCCGGCCGCCCGCCTGCGGCATCAGGCGCATCCAAGCGCCGCCGGGAGAGCGGGAGGCGGCTGCACTTCGGTTTCTGTCCGGCTCATCCCCACTGGGAACCGGCTTCCGGCTACACCACCGTGTTAAGAATTTTCTTCCCGTGAAGTTCCCAAGAATCTCTGGGAAAGGTCTGGGATGTCTCATCTCACCAGCTCTCAAAACCGATTAAAATTGTGTTCTCTTCAAAGGAGACTTGTAGAGGCAGGCTCCATCCCTCTGGAAATTCAGTTTAATTACTTGAATGTTTTCACCGAGGAACATGCTGATGGTATGGAAAGAGCCAGCTCTGCCTTTGAATACGCAGTAATTTACATAGAATAACAACGTTTTTGGCAGCTGCTGCTATCAACATTCACCTGAAGGAAATTTTAAAATTGGAAGCATGGATACAAACTCTATATGAGATTAAAGCTGGCAGCTTTCCCGTCTAAAATGACGCAAGAAGATCATGGAACGGTTAAGGTTGGAAAAGACCCCTGAGATCCGTCGTGTCCAACCGTGGAACGTCTCCCGACAGCCGTCACATGTCCCGTGGCAGACGCAAACTCAGGAGCAAGCACTTCAGCGCACCCAGTCCTATGGCTCAGGCACCATCCACGAGATCCACTCAGCCTGTGCACGGGTTACAGAGCTATACTTGATAAACCAGGGGTGTTCACTTACCGGCTATTAACAGAGCAGCTTATTTTATCTCTACATCATCCCCGAGAAGAGGACAGAACTCGTCGCTTCTGCTCAGGGCCGCCCAGGCTGTTGCTGCAGCCTCTGGTAGGTCCAGCCCGGTTCCCGCATGGTGGTGCTTACGACAGGATTCAAGAGGAGGGCTTGTTCAGCTGAGCCCCGTCTGCAAGAGAAAACGTAGGAGGAAGCACGTTCTGCTTTTAGACAGAAATTTTTAGCTCGAGCCTGCTGAAATTCCTCTTCCCTATAAACCAAAGCCCACCAGAGGGAGGAGACACGTGAAGACAGATAAAGCAGACGCTACGTCTTCCCCTCAGTAGTGTCGTTCCTGACTGTAGTCAGTCTTTTCTGACTGACTTTCCTGCGGAGCCGCATACACTACTCTTCCTCCTTCTCCTCCCCCTCCTCGGGCCAGCGGCAGGAGCCTCTCCCCCTCCCCGACAGTCCGAGAGAGGGGGTGGGAGACTCGCAAAGCGGAGGACGAAGAACCACCCCCAGCCTCCCGGAATATTACCATCTATTAAGAAACTAATCGTCACCGTGTGTATGTCGAGGGGCCTTGGGATCCTTCAGGGACGGGATTCTTTCTCCCCTAGTACCTTTGCCCCCTGTCATGAAACCCTAGGGAAAGCCGGCACGGGAAGAACGACCCCCTGAGGAGCTGCTGCCAGGAGCGAAATGAAACACTACCCAACAGAGGTGGGAATCACTGGGCCGCTGGAAAATCTCTCCGTACCTCAGCGCCCAAGCGTTTGGGAGTGGACCTTGCTATTTCAAAAGAAAGTTATTAAATAATCCTCCCTCTGATAAAGAGGATGAAAAAATGAGTTTGTTTGGAATTCTGTGCTGCATCAATGCTGTTTTGCCCAGAGGAGTGTATCCTGCTAGAAGAAATCTGAGGGGTTGTTAATAATTTAATTTTCCTCTCCTGTTTCTATCTTTATGATCCTGACTGCTTCCAATCTGAATATTCTCTTTATGATGCTTCAGTGACCTCACAGTATGTTTTTAGCATCGTATCAGAACAAGATGCTTCCTTGACTGGAAAAGCAGCTCCTGCTTTTTTATGGCTGTCATTGGGAATGACCAGAGGTGGATTCTGTTCTGTGCAGCAGTTTTCTACAACCTATGTGTACATGTAATAAAAATAACAGATTGAAAGCTGGGAAGTTTTGTCTGTTGTTCAGGGGCTATTCCAGTCTTTAGCCTGCCGAGATGCTTTTCAATCTGTTCTGGGCTGGGAACCAAACTTCTGACCTCTGTAATTTGTCTTCCCTTAAGCTGAAAATACCTTAGTACTTTTCCCTCTCTCCCAAGAGGCTCCTCAGGTCTTCACCCTTCACATCCTGCCCTTTACAAAACCAAGCTTCTTCCAAGTATATAGCTAAATTATGTGCCTTCTAAAGTTACTTTATTTAACTCTGCTATATCTTTTCCCATTAGCTATCTGCTTTTCAGTTCTTACCCTTCAATTCACCTAGGTATCAAAGACACACAACCAATTAAAAAGAAAAAAATCATTAAGGTTGTACAACAAAGGACTCAGAATTAGGATTTATTAGAAGACTGATTTTGTGACTTCATGTCAATCCCCCTGCTCATGTTTCAGAACATTCTTAAATTATGTAGTCCAGTATTATTTTCTTCTTGTCTTGCTTTATTTTACAAGGCCTTGTCTTTGTTTAGGATACAGGATGGACTTTCAGGATATATCAGATTTTTGCAGAACAAGATGTTGGAACTATTACCACAGAAGAGTGTAGGAAACATTGAGGAAATGGATGGTATTCCTGCCTCTGTTCCAGACAGGATGTGTGTGCTGCAGCTGCAACTTCTGTGCATGAGTTAATGGGCAGGAGCTTCTTTCACACTGGCTAAGGTAGGGTATCAGTACCAGTCCAGCGAGGATCTCTGAGCAGGCTGACCAGCACAAGAGGAAGAACAGGAACATGCTGTGGGCAAGACTGAGCCACGGCTCAGAGGCCAGCTCAAATTACTGGTGCACCTCTGAAATGAGCTAGACACATGCAATGTTCATTCCTGTGGTGGTGCCATGTGGCAACTTAGAAGTCATTTGATTTTACAGCTGACTGCAAGTTGTTTGTCAATTTTCTTGGAGTCTTGCATGAGGCATCTAACTCTAGGAAGAGCTGGGTGTTCACAATTGCAGCCCAAAGTCCACAGGAGATACAGTTCACTCAGTTTTATTCCCTTCCATTAAAGGCAGTGTGTGTAAGAAATACAAAGAATTGTCTCTAAGGTATCTGAATACACCTTTATCTGGAATAAACTGCGCTATATTAGTCAAGTAATATAATAATCTAACTTGCAGTGATGTAATTTCACTTTAATTTCTTCTGGCAATTGTAGCTATCCCACATCAGCAACAGAATGAAAGCTGGTGTATGTTGTCATCTCAATATGTTGAGCTAAATTCAAAGATTCAAATGGCAATTTGAATAGTTAATATAATGCAGAAAAGGTTTAGTTCCTAGTTGTTCCCCAAATAATCTGTATAAGCAAGAAGTCAGTAACTAATCTGCAACCCAGTGAATTTTTGGGTACAAAGTACAAGGAAAATATAAGGAATCATTGGGATGTAGTCTATTGCAAACAAATTATTTGACAACAATAAGAATCTTTCAAAATGCTTTTGAAATGGTTGACTAGTAGTAAGTCAAATGAATGCTCCTGCAAACAGATGCAATGCATGTGACCAAAAAGTCAACAGATTTGCTCTTTCAGTTGAAAATCAACATTCCTGACACACAAACCTCTCCCCAACCCGAAGATAAAACCCCATAAATCTTTAAATGTAAAATAATAAGGAAAATTAATCTGAATAAAATATAGTTATATATTAGTTCCAGGAGAAACCATGCACTTCCTCAGCCATTACTAAACTAAGAAAATGTTGTTGCCTCTACCCCATCTTGCAAAATCAGAGAAAAACAAAGAGGAAAATTACAGGAAATGGAAAGAAAAAGTGCTGAACATGGGAAAACTAGAGAGAAGAAAGAATAAAGAGAATGGAAAGTTGCAGCATCACAAAAGTGATTTACCCATCAATCCAATAAGAAAGATGACTAATCAAGCTGCGTGTAGGCAATGCACCATATCTATCATACACATCTGGTCTTAGAAGTAAAATGCAAAAGAACTGTAACCCTTCATAATTACTTTGGGAGATAATGCATTTACAGAATACAGATTGTCACAACATCCTTGTGGGTCCCTTCCAACTCAGAATAATCTGTGATTCTGGGATCCCTTCTCCACCCATCCTCTATCTTTACTGCCTACCATCACAGTCTAATCCTAATTTTATGTCATGCCATGAGAACTGCCCTGAGTCCCACACATGCCCAAATCTCTCCTACTGAACTCCAAAACCTGTCTCAGCACAACTGTTTTGTACAGGTTCCCAGATCCATTGTCTAGGTGCTCAGGGCTGCCCCCAGGTGCTCTTCACTGCAGTTACAGTTCCAGTTATAGTAAGCACCAGTCCTTACATAGCTTTAGTCATCAATCTGTGGTTACATGATGTTTCTTCCAGAGACTCTTTGCCAGGAGACAACTTGCTGAAGCCTGTCTCACAAGCTTTAAAAAATGTGGTTAGTCGTTGTAGTACATCTCCTCAGAACCCAGTGTTTGTCATGAGCTCAGAGTGTGCAACCCCCATCTGTTTGAGGTCACTTGTTTCAAGACCTGGTCAGCCAAAGAACTGCTGAGACAACCAAAGAACCAAAGTCACGACTGTGACTGCTTTCTCAGTCCCTGGGGCCTGCCTTTGCTGGGAATTGCAGAGTGCTTTCCCCTGCCCTGGCCTGTGCACTGCTCCTCTACTCAATCTGGGAGACAGGAGACCAGCAAACAAAACATGATGGCAGGAAATGTCCTCAAGGTAACCCAGCTAGGCTGAGACAGCCTCCCTTTATTTTTACCCCTGTAAAATGCAATCTGGGGTGGTGAGCACATTAGGAAGTGCCATTTGCCAGCCAAAGTAAAGCCTTTAATGCACATGTTTATACGTGAGCATCTACAAACCCATGAAGAAATACATTATCTAATAGACACTAGGCATTCTTGTGCTTCATTAAGCATATGCAGAGGAAGAAATAGGTCAAAGCACACCCACTTCAAGAGCATTGCAAACAAAACAGTGGAAAGAAAAAAGAAAAACTGTTTGGAAAATTACAGAAAATGTGTCCTGAGCAGCTTGTGGTTTTCACCAGGTCAAGAGCAACATTAAACTTCAGGTTTCACTGCACCAATTGTTCTCTTGTTTCCATTTAATTACAATGTCATATGGAATTCAAGTTCTCTGCTCGTCTCTTCATCCTCCCAATGGATGTCAGCATACTGAGTGACTCCACCTCTATGTGTGTCCACAGGTAACCCAAACTGAAGCTTCATGGTGCCAAAAGCAGCAAAGCAGGCAAGAGCTGCTGCTTTCTCCCCTGGCAGAAGACAAACCTCTCAAGATCCAGTTCTCCTACCCATCTGTCCGGGACACAGCAGTCTCCTCCCTGTAGCTTGCAGGCATGCCGTGGACTTCTGTTCCCAGAGAATGTCAGCTGTGGCATCTAGCACAAGGGAAATCTGGGAAAAGGAGAGAGGTGGAGGAGTGCATGGGAGAGATAAGCAGCTGAGGGGTGTAGCAGGGCAGTAGGTGGCTCTTATGTGCAGTCTGCTGCTAGGTCACAGCCCCAGTGCCAAATGCAGGGGGGCACTGAGCTCAGGAGAGAACAAGAAGTCCTTGATCCTGTGGCTCTGGGTCCCTACCCACTTGGTCTGTGTGCTCAGATGACTGACATAAGCTGCTTCTGGAAGATGGAATCCTTGCCCTTTTATGATAGCTCTGTCAGTCCTACCATACCATGCCAGGACCCACTCTCCTTGTCTCCTTTCCAAGGAGAGGCCTGCATGTAAGATGCCTTTGCCATTTAAAGCACAGCATAATGCCCAGTTTCTTTCTCTGTGCATTTTATGAAAATCTTTCCCTGTTATTCCCACTGGCTCCCCATAGCACAGGCTCTGGTTCTGGCCTTCAGACCCCCAGGTTTTTGTCCTGTGTCCTGCTGGGTTCACCTGTACAGCCAACTCATTATGTCAAGTGCTCAGGCAGCTACTGCGGCTCTCAGATATATAAAACCTTTCTACTTCAAACTTTTGGCCCACTTCTTTGGCCAGTGTTAACTGGCCTGGACTTCTTTACTGGTTTGCTGCCAAAGATCTGGGAACAGGTGCACAGTTTTTCTGCTAGGTACTCTTCAGACTGGTCTTTACTTGAAAATAGGATGTAGCAAGTTAGTACACAAAACAGAGCTATAAAAGCAATACAAATAGCTATGATTAGATTCCAGGGAGAAGGAGAGTGAGAAGTTAGGAGAGCTTCTGTAAGTCAGAAATTTTATGACAAACTGCTAGAAGCCTTGTCGTATGTGAACAGCATGCCAATTTCAATGAGACACAGATACCTACTGAGAAGCATGCTTTGCATGTTTCTTTTAAGACTTCAAGTTTCACTATAAGTCTTGGATGTAGGCAAAACATGGGAAAATTTTAAATGCATTTCTTTCTATGACTGACTTAAAATTCCTGCCAGATAATGACCATGACTAGTGAGCAAATGGTTACTTGCCGCAGTTTGGAAGAATCAGTAGGAACCCACACAAAACTGGGCTGGTGGC